GTACAATTTTGATGGAAAAATTATTAGAAGAATAAACATGTTTAGTGAATTTTCCTCTACTATTGTGCTTAAAAGTGTCTATATGTGTCATTATATATATATATATATATATATATATATATATATATATATATATATATATATATATATATATATATATATATATATATATGGGTAATTTGCATTAGAAAGCAATAATTAAATTAAAATTATTGAATAGACTTTATCTTTTAATGCAGGAGTATTTTAAAATAATGAAAAGGCTCTCTTTCAGGGTATGGTGACTAATTAACTTCGAGATCGTAGGAAATCAGAAAAATTATATGTGTGACAACTGTCTAGTTTTCATTTTTACTTTAATGATATGACTAGAACCGCTTACGAATTAAAAAGTCACCACGTAACTAGTTCAGAACTAAAACCAACATGTCATGAGAACCTGTTGTGGCGTTATTTTGACCGAAAGGATTTTAAATTAAGTGACATCATTAGAAATCAAACGAAAATCATTTATTGATTCCACTGAAATTTCGATTATTATGATAATGAGTTAGTGTAAAATTTAACTAAAAAATAATTTATTTCCTTAGAAAAGAAGATAAAATATTTAAAATAACTTAGGTTTGTGAATTTAATCCAAAAATTAATCTGAGAGTTTAAAAAATAAGTCATTTCACTAAAACATTCTAAATGACTCAAAATATGAATCCCGACGAAGTTACAATATGGAAAAAGATGACATCTTCTGTAACCTGTTTAGTATTGTCGTGTTAACAGTTCCTTTGCGAATCACCACAATTAATATTCAGGCATTATAATTTCGATTAATTTCCAGTGAATATTTTTGTCCAAGAAATCAGGTGAGCACTGGATAAAGTCTCCAGTGAAAAATAATATTTTAATTAAAATCTCAGTTCAAACTAGCAACAACAAAATGATACTTTAGAGCCCAAATGTATTAATTACGGTTGACTAGAAAAACATTATTATGCGTCATTTTATATCCACTTACAACGCAGGACTGACCACATGATCACTTACTTTTAAGAGTTGTAGTAACATCATATGTCAATTATCACGTCCACCATAGACTAATTCGATTCTACTTAATGATTCTTTCTATAAGATACAATAATATAAAAAATTGTTTATAATAGGGCTAAACTGTCCCTGTAATCTAGGTCACCAATATGTACAATGTGTCTACGAACTGCGTATTTATCTAGTTTAACTAAACTGGTAGATCTGAACTGAATTCTTTGAAAAATTGTCAAATTTATTGAATAAACTTATCATTAAAATGACAGGTAATGAAACAAAAATAAAACTAACACACAAATGAATTAATTAAAGTATGCATTTAAACAGACATTATTTGAATATGAGCACATGCTTCCAGATGTTTCACAACGAACAAATAAAGTCTGCCATAACGATGAAATAACATCTTTACAGGACGAATCCTCTCAAAAATGAATATATTTACAAAAGGAAATCGAAGTTTTGCTGGAGAATGTTTCATCCAATCAAGTAAATGTGACTGGAGTTCATCATGCATTCTTATGTCAAAACCAGATAGCACTGTCCGCACCTGCACAGACTATAGAAGAGTGACAAGTATGATCAAAAATATATTCATTTCAATTGCCTGAAAATCGATAGCTGCATTGACAGAAATGGAAATTAAAATATGTCACTAAATTAGAATTTTTGAAAGTATTCTGTCAAAATCCTATTAGTAACTCCTGATGTAATGTATATCAATATAAAGTTAAGACATTTTAGATGAAAGGTTCACCTCGCACTTTCCAACGCTTAATGAAAATGATTACACTTGGTCTAGATAATTGTGACGCTCGTATCAATGATGTCATTTACAATGACGCCTGGAATGATCTCTTGGAAACGTTTCGGAAATTCTTTAATAAAATCAGTGATGTAATATGAATTTTGCCTTGAATTACTTTTCAGGACATATTGTGGAACACTGTTAAGGTAAACCTCTCGAAACTAAGCTGAAATTTCTTCTGAATTCCAAGTGCCAATCATTAAAAAGAAGCCATTGCGAGTTTTTGGTATGATTGTTATACAGTCTTTATGCTCGATTGTTTCCATTATTGTTGAACCCCTGACCAATGTGTTAAGTAAGAAGACCACACTTCATTGGTCTGAAACATTTGAGGAGTTTATGATAAGTGAAGGCCATGTATTTAGTACTAATATTAGTACATTAGTCCTACTTTGTGGACACGGTACTAACATGAGTCTATGTGTGTTACTGGAGCAGCCTGGTGTGATTCACATCCGGCTCTCTTTTAGCATAATATTAAAACGTCTTAACATGTTTTTTGATATATTATGATATAAAATGAGTAGTCCTCTTATTTATTACTGGAATAAACTCAAATCATTGTAGAAATAGTGGTAAAATCTCGTTTACCTTTCTTATTCGATATTTTTGTTTTGATCGTCCGCCATATTAGTTCAAATAATGCCTACTTCCTTTCTCAACCTCGTTTGTTTGTTTGCCATATAAAGACCTTAATGCCTTATTTGGAAACGTAAACAGATCGTAGTAAAAAATATGGCGCGGTTTGAGTCGGAAATTCTGCGCATTAAAAGTAAATACGGTTTACCGGTGACTTTGAAATTCAAACAAGAAGCAATTATTTTCTCAACAAAACTGTATTCCGCAATTTATGCAAGTATCCATTCTCCATCTTCTCGCGTTTTGTCATTCAACAACTAATACCATAGCGTAGAATAGTCTGGCAAGCCTTATGTAGAAAAGGGGTCACGGCGAGAGTCTCGCGTTATCTGTTATGGTGGCCATAGTGAGGTTAGCATAACTACGCCAATTTATTTTGAAGTGTTAGGGCCTAATAGATTCAAAATAAGCTAAACTTCTTTGACAAAATGATTAAAGTTATTTAGTAGATTTCTAAACTATTTGTGTTTCTGACGTAAGTGAGGATTTTTTTGCTCCATTACATTATATGGGATCAGTTTGAAGCCACAACCACAACAAAACAAGTTGAGGCTACGACATCGTAGCTAGCCATGTACTAGGCTCCAGTTCCTTCAGCTGCAAGTTTCACTAAATCTTTTCAAATGTGATGTTGGGATTGTGGAGTATTGATTTAAGAAGGCAAAACTAGTGCAGATTATCTAGTATGATATTTTTCTAAAAACTAAATCAAGCACTTGATTCTATAATCGAGAAAGGAAATATGTATTTCAATCAAATGTTTCCATGTCAATGGTCGTCACGTTTTTGTGAGACCAACTTAAAATGGTGACCAATATTTAAAATGTATTAAAATACAAATGCACTACAATTTATTATCTGTTTCTTCCACCATTGTTTGTGTCATAAAAGGTAGTGCCCCTGATTTGACCTGTAAAACTGACCATAGTCTCCATTAAGCCACATACAACTAGTAAATGGAAAAAATATAAATTTTCTAGAACCAACATGCATAAAAATATAATGGCAGACTGCAAATTATGTCTGACTTGAGCTATGAATATGGTGTTGTTATTGGTATAGGGTTTAACACAATTTTTTAGCAAAAAATATGCTATACATGACAGCCAATATAAATGGTGGAAGAAGAACCCGCTCCCCCTCGAGAGAACCACCGACGCATAAGAAGCTACCGGAAAGCTTTTTTACATAACGAGAGAGAGAGAGAGAGAGAGAGAGAGAGAGAGAGAGAGAGAGAGAGAGAGAGAGAGAGAGAGAGAGAGAGAGAGAGAGAGAGAGAGAGAGAGAGAGAGAGAGACAATGGGGCCCATTATGAAAACGTAGCATATAGTGTATATTTAGTAAGCCCTTTATGAATACGAAGTATATAGTGTATATTCAGTAAGCCCTTTATGAATACGTAGCATACAGTGTATATTCAGTAAGCGCCTTACGAATACATATCATATAGTGTATATTTAGTAAGCCCTTATGAATACGTAGTACATACCCCCTTATGAATACGTAGCATATAGTATATATTCAGTAAACCCTTATGAATACGTGGTATATAGTCCCTTATGAATACGTGCATATAGTGTATAATCAGTAAGCATCTTATCAATATATATAGCGTATATTCAGCAAGCCCTTATGAATACATACATATTTTGCATATTAGTAAATAACTTATGAATACGTAGTATATATAGCGTATATTCAGTATGCCCCTTATGAATACGAAGTATATAGTCCCTTATGAATACGTGCATATTTTGTATATTAGTAAGTACCTTATCAATTCGTAGTATATATAGTGTATATTAAGTTAGCCCCTTATGAATAAGTGCATATTGTGTATATTCAGTAAGCCCCTTTTCAATACGTAGTGTATAGGGTATATTCAGTAAGCCCTTATGAATACGGGCATATTGTGTATATTTAGTAAACCCCTTTTGATTATGTGCATTTAGTGTATATTCAGTAAGCCCCTTTTGAATATGTGCATATAGTGTATATTCAGAAGCCCCTTATGAATACGTAGTGTATATTCAGTAAGCCCCTTATGAATACGTAGTGTATATTGTGTAAGCCCCTTATGATAGAGTATATTCGGTTAGCCGAATTATCATCCGTATGCAAAAGTATGTCTTTTTGTTTCAAGCGACATTAGCATTTCAGAATTATGAAGATTTGAATTTTTTCTATGATATAGTGGAAGCAGATAGAATTTGGGTGTCTGCAAAGATCACCTTATTAACTAATTAACGCAGAATACTAGCAAAATTTTATATTTGTTTTGTAGCTCGAATGAACATGATAATAAAAATGTTATATAATCATAGTTTCAATAATGTACAGAGAGAAGATTCGGTGAAAAGATGATTTATGCTTTTGATAAATTCCAAATTATCTCGGAACAACTATCACTTATGAATGTGAGGTTATATCTCCGAATTAATCACTGGTGCACAAATGGCCAGAAGGTATCTCTGTGTGGTCTATTTCAAACTGATTTGGTTTTAATGAGTATGTCTTGTTGGTCTAGGTGTATGATTCTCGCTTCGGGAGCGAGAGGTCTCTGGTTCGAATCCCTGACAAACCCGTTATTTTTAAACTTGACATTAAAACTGCTTGATTTTATAAATGAAAGGTCATCAATATTATCATTTTCTTTTAGATAATTTTTAGGGAAGATTAAGACTTATAAATTGACATGAAATTATATTTTATATCGGGTTCTATTGATATGTTTACTTGAATTTTATGGACATTGGAGCGATGTTTCGTTGGAGTGTTTACTGAGAATGGGTACAGTGAATGGTTAGTGATATTATCATTGTGTAGACATAACGCAAAGGAAGATAAGAACATAAAAATATAATTTGAAAATACCTTACATCTCTGAAGGACGCGGGAGGTAGCAGATTTATAAACCTAACCGAGTCGTACCAAACATTATAAAATGGTCCTCACAGCTGCCTTGCTAAGCGCTCAGCATTAAGAGGATAGTGTTAGGGCTGGGTGACTGGGTGGAACATGATTCTACATGACTGCGGTATGATGCCCCATTGCTAGACATCACTATAAACTGCGACAGTGGAGACATCTTAGCTGTGTAACTGACAGTTTTAATGCTACTTTAAAAATCAAAATAACACACACACACACACACACACACACACACACACACACACATGGGCGCCTGCAGCCTTTCTTGCAGAGCGGTCAAGTGTTTTTGAGGGTGGGGTGGGTCAGTTAGTCAAAGCCAGGAGAGTTGCTAGAAGAATCAGTCTGAAACTAAAACTTATTAATGTGAGGTTATATCTCCAAATTTATCTCTGGTGCACATTGAAATGGCCAGAAGGTATCTCTGTGAGGTCTATTTCACAATGCTTTGATATTAACAAGTGTGGCTTGTTGGTCTAGGGGTATGATTCTCGCTTCGGGAGCGAGAGGTCCCGGTTTCGAATCCCGGACAAGCCCGTTATTTTTTAACTAGACATAGCAGTTGTTTTGAACATAATCTTGTGACATATTTTCAGCTTCATTTGCATGATTAGACTTGTCCGAAATTATACACATTTCCAGTATGATTTCGGGGGAGGGAGCGCACTTGACCCCCCTGATCCATGCTTGCACACACACACACACACACACACACACGCTTGCACACACACACACACATCTCTGGAACTATTGAAATATTATATCCAGTTGTACTCATATTGTAAAATTGTTGTCTGAAGACGATGAGCGTTGCACCTCTGTTCCGATCGAGAGATCACCCAGTGTATCTGGATGATGGGCAGTATGTCACATTTGAAAGAATGTACAGTATAAACGTTCTTGACGTTACGGATGTGATAACTGGAGATGTTCTGTCACAAGTGGAAAAAGAGAAAGGAAATATGACACTATCTATAATCCATTCATATATATATATATATATATATATATATATATATATATATATATATATATATATATATATATATATATATATATATGTGTGTGTGTATGTGTGTGTGTGAAGAGAGAGAGAGAGAGAGAGAGAGAGAGAGAGAGAGAGAGAGAGAGAGAGAGAGAGAGAGAGAGAGAGAGAGAGAGAAGGGTTTGTTCCCTAGGATACGATGACTATCTATTGGCCCGGAGCGCATATGTTAAAGAAGCATATGTTAAAACCTTTGTTGAACTTTCCTGGGCAGACTACACCTTATAAACGATGGACCAGTCTTTTTACTCAGTCAATAATCTTTGTATTATATAGTAAAAGCAAGCATATTAATCGTCAAGTTTTATTAAATGGAAAATACAATGAAATCTTAAAATTGTTTTATTTTATTCCATATTTAAGAATGAAACCCGAGCAATGCGGACTAATATACACCTTGTTACTACCATCAGGACTTGCCAGGGCAGTGTACAATGAAGAAGAAAGAGAAACATGCAGAGAAAGAGGTTGGAAGATAATATTCGGGAGCGAACAGATTAGATACTGAGCGACTCACTAAAAATTGAGAGGAATGGAGGAACCTAATTGTTCGATCTTCTTCGTTGCCCCACCGGCCTCCCAGACTACGGGACTGAAGATGATGATGATGATGACGGCGTTACTAGTATGATTCCTTCTTCACTTGGTTTCGGAACTCCAACTGGGGTTGTGAACAATTTCAGTACGTGTTAAGAGCCGTAGCTTTGCCCTGACAATGATGTCCTTGAGGTTTTATTGACTCCGGTATGCTACAACAGGTTTGCTAGGGATTATTAACTTTAGGGTGTAAGACGATTCCACAATGGGCCAGTGTCTACTGATGACTTTACCCACCTTGGAGTTGTCTAGATTGTAGATCGGAATAAATGGTATCCGATCAAAGTTTTCCTTCTCCCCATAAATCGGTAGGTCGTTGCGAATTATTTGCTTGACCCTTTGTGTTGCCTCCCCTATCATTTTTCTGTCGTAGCCTCGGTTAATCAAATGTTCAGAGAAATATTCAGATATTTTTGGAAAGTTTTTTCATCGAGGTAGATTATTTGTAATCTCTGTGCCTGGCTTTATAAAATGTTCCGAATACAGTATTTTAGTTGACAACAAGTTGGAATAAGTTACTGGTGTTGATCAGATTGTTCTGAGCAGATGTGTATATGGGGTTTGTTTTCTAACAGTTTTGTTGTTGTGTCCCAAAAAACGTGCATATGAGTTGGACACTCTACCGTGAATTTTATTCAGGGATGAAATTTGTTTGCCTTTGATATAAAATCATCTGGATTTTCTCTTTTATGTTGCCACTTCATTTCTATATCATCTATGTAGCTTGCCCAACGGTATAGTTTAAGTTTCACCAATGCCAAAATTTAACACTCTCACAGTTTCCCCATATAAATATTAGCATCCGAAGGGGCATTTATGTTTACATAGTGGTTTCATTAATTTAGAGCTAGTTTTCTTCATTAAATTCAAACTAACTGAATTTTAGGACACGCTCCATGACTTGGACTAGGAAGTGAGTGGTCGGATTGGCTACAGTTCTTGCTCACAAGGCTTCCATACACGCCTACAAAGAAAGCGAACGATTACTGTCAGATACATTGCTTCTTTCCTTAGACGTCTCATCGTTGTATACTTGTATGCTAACATACCGTACAACGAAGGCATGTAGGGAAGTATGGGAAACACAACGATTGTTTATTTACAGAAGAGGAGATAACGTGTCATTATTTTGGAAAGAAAAGATACAGAACGACTCATCAAACAAGCAAATTCATAATACACAATACGTATTTAAGAACATTACATTACAAGCACAGAAATCAGCTTTTGCTTGAAATAATATTCTTTAGAAGGCATGTGTGTGGGATTTGGATTGTAACGTATCTTTAACATAATTTCAGTCATATTGCTACGATTTATGCAGTGTGGCAAGTTATAGTGATAGAAAGTAACACTTTCGTCAGAACAGATGAAGAGAAAATGTGTGTAACTGTTTTGATTTTATGTTTTGTGTTATTATTACAACCAATCCTTAGTTCATATAGAATATCCAAAATTAGGAAACAAATTAAATGGTGGACGGCCAAACCGGATGTCAGGGATCTATTCTTAACAGATGTATATATTTGTTTTCAGTACAATGTGTTTCGGTCAGTCAACTACGACCAAAGACATTTAACAATTAAGAGCTTAATATGAAGACGAGGTAATGTTTTAATTCATTTAGGAAATTTACTGTCTTCTCTTACACATGTTGCCTTCGGAATTTCTTACATACAGATGTTTTGTGAGACACCGTGATGATCGCCAACTTAACTAGAATAGAGATAATTGTTATGGTAGCACTTGAAACGCATACTTTGAACGATAGAAGTCAACAGACAATAGTGAACAGATTATATATATATATATATATATATATATATATATATATATATATATATATATATATATATATATACTTTACTCATTTTAGAGGTAGAGAATAATGTTTTTTTTTTTTAAATGACAAGAGTTTGACGTGTGTGTGTGTGTGTGTTTGTGTATGTGGGCTCGCGTGTGTCTGTTACGACTCTGTGGTTAGGAATTAGGTAACAGATTATCAAAGTCATATAATGTAAATATAAAAAAGAAATTTTAATATTATGAAATGAATAAAAAATAATCTCAAAACTTTATATTTAATTCCAAAAGAATTGAATGTTTCTAATGAAGTTTAGATCCTTGAATGCACGTTCCACAATTACATGTACCAAAATGCCTTTGAATAATTCCAAATATTCCCAAAATATTTTTTATTCCAATGAGTATTTTGCAATTCCAATGAATAGTCCTAACAAAGGTCTTGCAAATTAGCTAGATACAATATTAAATACTGATTGATTTCGACATATGAAAAAAGAATCCGAAAAAGTATTGAATCAAAAATAGAAACGAATCTGACCGACCAGTTCTCTTTTCATTTACACCTTCATGATTTTAAAGATTGCTCTATATCCCATGTAACAATGCTTACTACTGTGTCTCATATTGCACAATTTCTGTTCACGTGACCCAACCTACCCTATGGAAAATAACTTAATTATTCTAAGAAAAATCCTGATATAACCTATTAAAAAGAAAAAAGATTCTTCTATAATCCACCTGATTACATCAGCCAATGAGAAATTACCCCAAACTGGTCAACAAGTTCAATATATATATATATATATATATATATATATATATATATATATATATATATATATATATATATATATATATATATATATATATATATGGGGTGTCTGTCTGTGTGTTAAATTGAATATGCCAACACCTATTTAGAGCTTAAGATCTATAAATAAAGAATTTTTGTTAGGTTCAAATAATCAACTACTATTTGGAGTCATCAGCAAAAGTTACACACAATATAGGTTTAGTTACGTATCAATAGTTACAAAAAGAATCTAAATATATATACAAACTCCTTAACAGAGACAGACAGACAGAGAGAACCACGAGAGCTAGAGAGGGCAATGTTAGATAAAATACTCGAAACTAAATGTTTAAGTAGCCACAAATGCAATCACTTTCTTTATGGACATCATTTATGGATGTCATATTATTTCAAA